AAATTTTGGCATAATCTTGCACCTAAGTGTCTGATATTCAAATTTTGCTTTCTGTGTCAAAACTACTCGAATTTCCTCACTCACGTTGTTACGACTGAATCGACTTTTCAATTGTCTATCCAACGATGCCAAAACGAATTCTGTGGCTCGAATGGTTCTTGAGAAACTTCGAAAAAAACAGCGTTATGTTCAAGTTGATTTTGCAACTCAAAAAAAAAACCACGCAAATCTAAAACTTCTTGAATTCAAGCATTTTTTAAGAAAACTGCAACATTTTCTTATCGATGGTTCACTTTCTAAAAAGGCCATTTAGTTCTCTGTGGAATGATGTAAAAACGAGCGTTCTTGCTCATTTTGCTTCCGAGAAAAATGCAAAACGGGACGGAAAACATGAAATTTTGCAATAATCTTACGCCACCCTTGCACGAAACGACGATAATTTTTCTAATTTCATAGACAACAGAAGACTGTATTTTTTCTACATAACCCCCCCCCCCCTTAATTTAAAGCTGGATCCACCCTTGCCCCATACTTTTAGCGTTTATACTCTTTCAATCAACGCTTTTAGGTTTCGACTCGATAGTTTAAAGCAACCTTTCCAAGCTCTTTAAATATTGTCTTACCCTAAGGGTTGCAGCTGTATCCAAATAAAATATGTTTTCACCTAAAGTTCGCTGATTTACTGATGATCAATGCACCAAATAAACATTTATGTGCATTTCTCTTGTAAGTCTTCTAATGTTAATTTATCAAACATTTTGAAGTCCTCGTTATTTTTCTGGCGTCTACATAGAGGGTGTCCTTTAAAGATAATTCGATACATATTTTTTCCTATAGGTAGATACAAAGTAGATGTTTTAAATTTCAACCCAATATGCAATCTGTAATTGTGGTTTAAAAAAATATACATTTGATTGATCCAACGGGGGCCTTCAAATTAATTGTTTATGTTTAAAAATTTGCTTTATGTTCAATTCTTCAAATATTTTTTTTTAACTGCGAACTCACAGGTTTTAAGTGGAAATTCAGCCACAATTTGTTAGACTTTCTTCAAATAAATCGTTGCAATGTTATTTTAATTTCTTATATCCTAGTCAATTTTTTTAACGTTTTTTTTTTCAAGTTGAGGCATTTTTCAGCCATTTTTTCTTATTTGGTAAGTGCAATCGTAAATTTTTGTAGGTAACTATTTTGCAATATAATCCGTAAATTTTTACTTATGTTGCACTGTTAATACTTTTACTCCTTCTGTGCTCACACCTTAATTTAACGATTTTGATACGTTGAATTCACAAAGCAAAAACTTGAGTATGTTCTTTTGATGAGAAAGATGTGCCCAAATCACAGGAAATGAACCCGTTTGAAAGAATGAGGGGTCCGACCAAAGAACCTTTTCCCATTCAATCAGCAGCTGGTTTTATTTGATTTTTAGAGTCTATGAACCCATTAAGCTATTAAGACCTGACTTGAATCGAATTACTTTACTGACCTGACACGTCAGTGAATCTACGATTTTCGCCAAAATACGCAAAAATAGCAAATTCACATGCTTATACATTGTCTGATGTCATTGACTGGAAGCTGAAATGTTTGTTTTAGTTTATCTTTGTTTTGATAGTTAATCCAAACTATTAGGGTCTATTTCCTTCAACCATCGGTTATTTGATTCATGTTATCAACTTGTATGGAAATAGCAAATAAGTTGATTGTTAATTGGGCGAGATTAACTGTCTTGTGGTAGCTTGGATGGAGGATTTTGTTAGCAGTCTGTTTAAAATAATTTCATTAAGTAGATTTTAATTTTGAACTTTTTGAGGCATGTATTTTGGCCAATTTAGCCCTTTTGAAGGAAAATTTTCGAAAATCCAAAAAAGTTTTTTACCCCAGTATTTGGAGGGTTCAAAAGCTTGAAATTTTTACATTTTTTTAAATTAAAAACTATAGGATTCTCTTGATCTCTCTTGATCTTGCTCTTGATAAAAAAAGGTGCGGATATCAAAAGAGATCCAGTGGTGATTTTTTACAAAAACCTCCAAAATTCCAAAATTTTTCAGTGGGTTACTTATTTGAAGTTGAGTGGATTTTTATAAAATAAAAGCACATAAACCCATAAAAGAATTGGTATTCACTTTTTCGGTAAAGTGAGTCCTTATTAGTCACTTTAGCGACCTAAAGAAACAGCAAATATGTAAAATGTACAGAGGTTTGAAGGATACGCTCTCATACGAGCCTGTAGTGAGTTTTTAGTATTTTTCCTCTGGATCTGCGGGCGATTTCTTCGCGAAACTTCTAAACCTCTTAGGACAAGCATTTTGTCCGGATCTAGTGTATGAAAGCCGAAATTGCGGTGAGACTTTGCTCAATTTTTACTACATATTTAATTTTTGAATTGAAAATCAGCTTTTACAGTTGAGATTTTTCAATCGCCAGATTTGTGAGAACATGTAGAGTTGTTATTTCCAAAAAAATATCTCCAAAACTAAAACCAATAGGCACATTCTGAGTGCATTCAAAGTGCATAGAAAAGATGGGATTCACTTTTCGTCTAAACTCGAATTTTGCAGGAAAAAATTTACCTTTCTTCTTTTTTTGCGTGCAAATTATTTTTATTTTCTCAATCCACTTGTTCCCTAAGTTCCTAAGAGTTTTTAACAGTCTATATTGGGATAGGAAAACGGACGCAAACGGTTCTTGAGGTTTGCCGAAAATTTTCCCAATTTACCGCGTAATTCTAATAGTTGTTTTGATATTTTTGCCTTTTGTGTGAGTCATTTTTCAAGTGAAGTTTCACTTCTTGAGATATGAGCAAAACGGTGGAGTAATATATAAAACTATCGCCGTATCTTACATCTATCTATCTGACTAATCCTTGGAACCATAAAAAAAATGATTATTCTCCTTATTCTCCATTTGCATCTTTTACATTTTGACAATTAATTTAAAACTCTTAATTTCGCGTGGTGGTATTTAGGAACATTTTATTGTATTCAAAAGAGTTTTCTTGGAATTTTTCGGGATTTAGGTCTTGACACGTCAGGAAGAAATTCTAAATCACGACGGCGTAAAAACCCAAAAACGCTTTTAATTCAATAAATTTGCATAATACTTTACTTAGTACACATAAAAATTGTGCTATATTTATGTTCGTGTCATTTTTCTTCAGCAATCCACATATTTATCTCGAACTCGGTAAATCTTCGTTCTTCTGTAAACACCGTTAAGTAATACTTTACTTTCATACACTAATTAACACTTATGCAGTAAACTTTGAATTTTTATGGAACAGAACACTTTTCCCATTAAATTAAATTAATTTTCTTTGAATTAAGATTGTAATGTTCTTGATTGTGTGAACGTAAAGTATGGAACATATGAAATAAAGTTCAAACAGATGTACCAATAAGAAAAATTGCCGCAATTTTTTGTGGCAACTTCAGATTTGGATACCTTTGACGTGTTGCAGCTGTTTTAATTTAATATGAAACTGGTGAGTTTTTCGGGTTTTTAGACCGTCGTGAATTACTTGCGAACGTTTCGCATGCACGAGTGTTTTGCATCTTTAAAGGTTGTTTCTTAGATAGCTTTAACTTGAACTAATGTTTCAGTGATCAGTTCAGTTTAAGCTTTTGCCCAAACAACCTCTGAAGATGCAAACCAGCCGTGCTTGCGAAACGTCTGCTGGAAATTCCGAAAAACCCGAAAAACTCACCTGTTTCGCTTTATGTCCACACTGTATATAAAGCAAAACGAAAGGTGTCTACTAGTTGGCAATAGGCTTATTGGCAAACAATAGGATATAGTGCGTATTCAAAATTGTAATCCTTTGAAAAAAAATACCGTGTGACGAATAGTTTGTTCCTGCAGCGAAAAAATTGGCAAACACAGAGGCAGGTTGCTGATTCGTTAATTAGCCAAAAACAATGCATCAGATCTGATACTTTCGCGCGAAATTTTCCCAAACTTTTAAACATCCTGGGAAGTGAAAGCGCCTTTTCATTATTTATTACATGTTGAGCAAAGTTTTCCTAATTTATCACACATCAAGTCCGCTTAAATGCTATTATGTTGGTGCATGTGTTTTCATTAATCAATCCTGCAATTGTTACTAATTCTAATATTGTTGTTATGTCAGAATCTTCAAATTTACATTACAAAGTGATGAGTAACGAAATGAGGATGCTCTTAGGGGATCCTTGAAATTTTCTAGTTTTTCAATGGAAAATCTGCATAAAATGGCACCTTTACGAGCTTAATCAGTTTTAGAAGACCTTCGTTGTTCATTTTTACCGGAAACTGTTTTTTCCACTTGACGAATCACGTCACGACATGTCGTTCCCTCTCTCACCCCAACCCGCATGTAAATAAGGAGAGATAATGTTGAAAACAATGTCCGTTCTTTTCTTTATCCGACTAGGACTGTTTTACGGACAGTGGAAAAAGATAAAGGGGGTTATTTAAAAAAAACTGATTGAACGTTGTGGGAGTTTTTGCAGCAAGCACTAAAAATCCGAGTTTTTAAACTTAAACAGTTTGTTGAATTTAGTTTAGAAGATACCAAGAAATACTGTTTTAAAGATTTTTATTTCTTAGACGAAAATAATGTTTGCTTTTTGTTCGGTGTAAAATTGTGCGAAGTTTGGACAATGAAAACGCAAATTTGTCATCCATTGCTTTATTGGATCAAAAAACTTTTTCCTGTTTTAATTTAGGCTCAACTAATCAAGCGCTTTATTCGATTTTTCTGTTTTGCCGCAGTTTCCATTACTTCTTTTGAAAATACTTTTCTTTCTGATCCTGCAACTGCTTCTCGTTTTAAATATTCAGAGTTTTCAATGTAGAAGCAAAACGCACACTAGAAACGTATTTTTTGCTCACTGAAACTGCAGGAATTAGCATCACTTTTAGTTTATTTTTCAAAACGATTTCATTTTAACCACTGGCTCTAAACTTGTACTTCAAAACATTAACGCAAATTTATTTATTGGCGAGAAGCGCTTGCCGAACAGTGTTTATGCCACAAACTATTTTGTTTTTCGTTATTAATCTACTTCTAAGGTAAATTAAATTGAATATTTCTTAAAAAGATTGAATTACGCGAAATGTATGTCATATAAATTATACTTTTCCAGGTCAATAACTAGAAAGTTTCAAGGTTTAAAATTATTTCGTTGAATCGGTTTATTTACTCTTTAATACTGTGTTGTTTTGAAATTGCCATTGGCAATATTTATTTGTTTTGTGAGAACTTTTTGTTGGTTCTTGGGTTATTTTAATAAGAACGTTCGTGTCCTGCAAGGAAGAGTCAACTTCCAGCCTTATTATAATTATATTGCACCAATTTATTGTTAGGAAATTTTGGCAGTTGTTTAAAATTTTTCTTGACCTAATATCAAAACTAGGTAATTTCTATTCAACTTTATCATGCACCCTTTGATTTTCTACAAAACGCCATTAACTAAGTCGAAATACAAAAATCAAACGTTTCGTTCTTCAGAGCAACTTAATTTTTCATAAATCTGTCAGCAATTTACCAAAAGCGCTGTGATTAGTCCTTAGATCTTCCTTAGGCTTAAACCGCTTAAAATCTGCAAAACTTGTTTAAGATTAATCAAGTAGATTATACATTAAAATATCGGTGTTTCTTTCCTGATATTATGTATATTCAAACTTCTTACTGAAATACACACTTGTGTTGGCGCTAATTGAATGAAACTTCTATTCTTAGAGCTTAAAAACGTACTGTGTGTTTCTTGGATTCTTGCCAAAAAAGTGATTTGAAGAGGAACCGTTGTTTTTGCTTTTTTCCACCAAAAAATGCATGTTGTTTGTCACATGTTTCCTACTATATATATTTTTTGGGCCTATGAACGAAATACCTCAATCAGGGCGCTAATACATACACAAATCATGAAAATTGTTTGCTTATTGATGCATAATGCGAAAATAGAAACTATAGCATAGCATAAAATACTATGTTTAAAGCTTTTATCACCATATAAGAAAAATTTTGTTAAATTCAAAATGTTTGTCATATTGAACAATTTTTTTTATAAAGTATAAAATGTCAGCTTGTAATTTTTACTTAAATTAAACAAGCCAGAGTTTAAGCAACTCGACCATGACATTGCTTAGCAATGATTAAAGCAATTACTGTACATTTAATGGTACATTTTCAGACTGTTAGTTTAGATTCTCAGTCCACCAATACGATGGTTTGAAATGATTCGCAAGTTTATTATTTGATACACTGTTTTTTCAATTTTTTTTGTGTTACATGGATTAAAATTTATTTAATTAAATCAATCGATGTAGTGTCGCAAAATTTAATCAAGCAAACCGTGTTTTTAGTGAGGAAGCGCGTAAAAATACAAAATATTTTAGACATAACAATCTATATAAAATTGTGCGAGCTTCTTGATAAACTTCTTATTATAATATTATTAATAACTCTCCTTAACAATTTATTGGAAAACTTTTGGTGGAAACACAATAAAAACTGCAAACCCAGCAATTTGAAACTGAAGCAGTCTGTAATATTTTGCTTCAAGTTATGAAGGTTCCAACATTGTAAAACTCACTGCTGCAAAGTTTGTCAAAATATTGGCTTAATCACAAAAAACAATCGCTTGATTATCATCAGCGAACAGTGACTTCTTTTGTTTGCATCCCCCTATGTATAAAAGTATTGTTTTCCATGTTTCTTGTTTAATTTCACACTTGTTAATTAAATCCCATGTTTTTGTTCTTCTTCAGACATTCTGACTAGTGGCTTTTTGTGGTTGTCTGAGGAAGCGTCTTCACCGGCAAATTGTGTTTTTGATACAACTGTAAGGTTCCTTTCCCATGAAATATTACGGTAAAAGCAGTGCTAATACTACGAATAAAAATTTAGTCAGCGAATTTAAAAACCGTGGTTCCGGTAGACAGGGCGGCGGTAACGACCAGTGAGCTTGTCGAGTGGTTTTTATTTGTTTGTATCATTGGCGTCCGTTAAAGCCAACAACAGTTCGCCTAAAAAAATCGATCGAAACAGGACCACCTTTAACCAAAAAAATCTGCTTTAACATCAGATCCACTTCCTCTGTATCGCTTCCATTGAAATCCATCTGAACTTCTCAATTTGCTTTTGCTTCGGAGTCCACTTCAGTTGTTCGAAATGGTCGTCCTTACACTCGGCATCGGAAGAGTCATAAAATGAAGATCCCTTTTCTTGGAAGATGATCATTGTGTGACCTAAAGCGTGAACGTATTCTGCCCGGTTCACATCAATGGCGATTTCTGCTAAGCAATCGTCGAAGCGATAGCAATAAGTGTCTAGATTGAGGCCTTCGAGGTTCTCCATCAGCTGGTTGTAGTAGAATTTTATAAATTCATCCAGCTTTTCCTTAATTACCTCGAACTGTATGGAAGTTAGCAGGAAGAATATTACATCCCCAGCTGGGCTGCCCTCGTCAAGTACTTGTAGATCCAAAATTATATTTTTTTAACATTTTCCTCCAGTAATCATAATGTTGTTACACCAAAAGTCCTGATGTACGATCGCTACCCACGGTTCTCGAGTTGTTTTCTTTTCAAATTGGCAGGATTCTTTTACAACTTTCCTGATTGTATCCATATGAGATGCGAATTCAGGGAGGTTGTTTAATAGCTCTAAAATGGAGTTCTGGAACACTTCTTTGGCTCGATTGGCACCAAACCTGGTGCAGAAACGTTGCAAGTTTTTTTCATATAGAACAGGGTTTTTCCCACGAATTGCCATAGAAAGGGCGTGAAATGTCGCAAGGTTTTTCAGAATAGAGTAGGTTGTTGGCGCATCAAAACCCACATAACGATCAATGTTGTGAAAACCTACAATCAATTTCTTTCCTTTAAAACGGATGTTCTTTTGTTAAATAATTTGTTAGTGTCTTTTTTACCTCTTTGCTTCAAGTTTTCGGTCAAAATCACTCCATGTTTATCCACGAAATCACTTTTAGCATCCAAACTAATTCTGCCTCCATAAAATTCCTGGAAAAAATCTATTTTCCTGCCGAAACTTTGGTCCCTAGCAAAGGTCTTCAAAGTGGGTATGACGGTGGTGTACCAGCCAATTTCCGCTCTGAATGTTTCTTGAGTGTTAAAGAATTCTTGAGTAATTTTATTGAGCGGGGTACATTTTTCCACTGCATGGTAGCTCTTTTTCTCACCATCTATCTTCATCTGAAAGGCGCCATTGAGAGAGCGATTGATTGTATGAAATGTTTTTTTCCTGTTATTATCCTTGTGCATTTTTTACGTATCGCTAAATTTTTTGTGTTTGTTCCTATTCTATGTTTGTGTGTGGGAGGCACTAATTCTTAAAATTGTTTATCATGAAAACGCAAGAAGAAACTGGGAAAAAGACGCATGAATCTTGACCACAAATTTACTTAATACAAAAAAGTTTCTTGAAAATTCAATGAAAGTTTCTTAATAGTAATACTACGACTCACTTTAAAATCCACTTGGTATATAATGCTTCCATAATTCTCCCCCGGGGGTAGCAGAGTAGTGACTTTCTGTTCAGTCAACTCTCCAGGAATGCTGCCCGCAATAAGTTCTTGTAACCTTTCAATTTTGACTTGATGGTCCATGATGAGGAAATTGCACTGAGAGGATCGCCAAGTAAATTGCCACATTTATGGAAACTCTTCCACTGCGGAATGTTTGGCAAACAACGATAAGAAGATATATCAGATATTACTGTTAGTGATTTACGTAGTTTGCAGACAGCCTTGATTTTCTTAATGAACCTTATTTTCGTTCTGTTATCTCTTCTGGTAAGACCACATTTCAAGAGCGAATTATTAAAAAAAACTTGATTTTTTCCGGAGATACATGCTGGATTTTTTTTTATCACAAAACTTGTGATCTGCTAAATTGACCTAGAATTATTTTTTCATTGCGTAATGTCACATTCGTGTGGTGGCGCTTCACATGCAAAAGATTGGGATGAAGTGTTAATTAGTTTCCTATAAATAATGTTTGTTAATTCTGCTTTTTGGATTCACTTTTCTATTCCTTCGGGTCTTTTTATGACGTTTTATTTATTTCATTCGCATGGCATATTTCAATGATGTATTCATTATTCAGCGTCACTGATTGCTTGTGATGCACTTGACTATTTAACAGTGTGCGTAACCATTGAGGAATAGTTTTATTTAAGTTTTTATTCAATGTTCTCTATTGCTGCGCTTTTCACACTTATAGAGCAGTTAACTGGTAATAAACAGTTCGAAAAGATAATATCTTCAGTACTTAGAAGTAATGCGCTTTTCACAGCTAACTGGGTTAAAATTATAGCAACTAATCAAATGAAAATCAAATAAACAAATTTGCCATCGCACGTTAAAAATATGTTAAACCAGATGAGCGTGGCAAAGCATTCGAGCACATTTTTGTGGAAATTGTAATTTGTAATGTTTTCAACAACTAAATACACTTGTTTGCTGACCAAATATTTTAATTATGTTCATTTAGGGCAACAATTAGTATGTTTTGCATCACCACAACTTTGTAACTATTCCAGATAAACCAAATAGAAATATTATTAAGCGCTACAATGTTGTTCGGAACCGCGGACAATGTATGTATTTAAACAATTTATGAAATTTGTTTGGAATTTCATAAATAATTTCGAATGAAAACAATTTCAAATGGTGTAAATTGCAAATTCGAAATACTAAAGGTCAATTATGTAAGATAATTTTCTTTCAGTTCACGTTCGATAACATCGGTTTGTTCTTTGTTTCCACGATGAGCACATCCGTTTTTGGTATCCGTTGTACGTTGAATGCACAACACACAATGGGAAGTCTAGATGTAACCTAACGTGTTATTTTAGTAACTTCCTCACAATTTGCATATCGCACTTGCTTTACATAGAGTTGTGAACTAAGTGTCACAATGCTGTGTGCTTTTCCCCTTCACCTTGGAGTCTCAGCTGAGCAGATTGTTAAAAGATGTAAAAAGTTGAATTTCGATTTCGCATCTCGATGCACTTGACATCCATCGGGTTATGGATTCTTCTAACACAATTAAGTAGCTATTTTTAGTGTCTTTGATAAATGTTATATCAGAGTACTAATAGCATAGTTTTTTAAGTTAAAAGGCATCAATTTTGTCCGCTTGAATTCGGTGGCCACGTTTATTTGCCCTTGCGTGTTGCACATTGAAAGTCTCCTCACCTTTTCTTGGAAAGGTCGTTATTCAAGATTACCCATATATCTGGAACGAATAGGACGAATCTTGGGAGAAATATGTTTTTAGTATTCAGTCGAATTTTTCGCATAAACCAAAGGAAAAACGGTTTGTAAGAATGCCTAGATTATCTTCCTAATTAATATAGTAAAACCCACGCAGCATGTCAGTGGCATAAAACAAAACGTATTATTTCGGTCTGTCACGTAACAGCAGAAATAATGACTCCAAAATGGTATTCCGGAAATAATTAGGCTGCTTTTGCCGTACGTCGTATGTACAAATAATGTTCCTATGATACCCTTGTTAAAAAAGTTAAATGTGTATTTTATTAATCACCATAGAAGCTCAAGTTTGAAATATAAAAAAACAGGAAAATGTAACTTTGTATGGAATATTCGAAATTCGCTTTTTGTGTGAAAACTGCCCCTTTTCCTGATCCTACCAGGAACATGATTCTGTCTATATTTTCAAAACTAATGGCGGTTTAGAGCAGAAAATAATGATTCAGGAAATTGCAGAAAAGCGTTTTTAAGCTGAAAGTTTATAAATGGGCCACATAATGCTATCACAATGGTCACTCATTCAACTGATGACTGATTATTTCGATCCTCTATGCTATCCTGATGTATAAGTTTCATTACTAATACCGGAAATATATAAAAAAAAATAAATTCTCAAAATTCTTAGTTACTCTGATGGTGAGATTGGAAGATCAACTGTTCTTCAATAATAATTTAGTTACAAAAATTATGTGTAATTAAATTTGAATGAAAACACAGAATATAGAGTTATTTTCGAAAATGCTACTTTAATAATGAATTACATATATTAAGATGGAGCGCGAGGCAAAATAAGTGTAGAATATATAATAAATAGACAGACCTAAACAAGGACAAAATGTTTTTTAAGATAAATAATGTTAAAGCAAAATAGTGTCTCATATTCGTGAACTCTAACAAAAGATAGTATGTGCGACGGTCTTTCAAAAAAAGCTGATTAACTATTCGAATTTACAACACATTTTTTCTTCAAAATTTTTAAAGTTTAAACATTTAAAACAAACATAAAATTATTGTAGCAGCATCTAGACCCCCAAAAAACATTAATTATTTTGCATCACTCGGATACCCTCTTTCATTAAAAATATCAAGGGTGGTCCATCCTCTGCTCAGGGAGTGAAAGTGTGTCTGAGTATTTTTGCATCACTTTTTAACAACCCAGGAAACAATTCTGGTTCGGTTTACTTGGGACATTTTGTATAGTAAATTCCTTGTTATTCATTAAATCTCACATGCTAGTAAATAGGTCCATTTACCCGAGAGTATGACCATTATTTGCAATAACTACTAATGTTTAATTCAAATTTATGGAAAAGACTAGCCGATTTTTATTTGCTTCTAAAAATATGTCTCTAAATGAATTAAACCAGGACAAGGTTTCAATCTAATTTATTATAAAAACTAGTTTCTCCGTTATACAGGTAAATTGTCAACAAATGTTTTTTGTACTGATTAATGAGTATTTATTGGCGGTTGGAATTAGTTGTTGCTGATTTAATTTGAAAATTATTTAGCCGGTCGCTGGACAAGAAAATTTTATACTACTTGACTAGCGAAATTATCATGAGAAAGAAAGATGACACTGAAGAGGTTGAAGATAAATATCTGCCAACGTTTATCTAACGGATCCATCGTAAAATTTTTATTGCAAACTTGATTTTAGCAAAACAACTTCCCATCTCGGAATCCCACGCAACAAATGGCACAGTTTATGCGAAAGTAGAACATAGCTTGCACGAAAATTATCTTTATTTTTGATGCATATCAAATTGTCCAACAAAACAACGTTCTCGAATTAAAACTTAAAATAAATTAGACGTTAATATTTACAACCTTTACATTTAATAATAATAATCTTGATTTCTTTCGAAGAAAGCTTTCGGCCAAATTGTATTTAATATTTTAACACTGTACAATCCACCTTCTTGATTTTACTCATATTTTGTTAAGGAAAATGTATGTTATTCAATTTGGCAAACATCAATTTGAGATACTTTTGAATCAATAAAAGCCTCTATAAATGGAAATGTATAAATTAAGTCGGTGATCGACTTGCTAGTTCTGGAGTTTTGAAGATTTCTGAATTCGTCTTTCCATACAATTTGCTGATATTTCCCCGAACCAAGTGCATTTGTCCTGCATACAATTGGGTTGAAAAACTAGATTCCACGCTCGCTTTGTCCCATTATAAATGAGAGCGAACCTAAAAACATCCTCGATGACCTATTCCAAATCCAACGTTCTTCTTTCATGTCGACACGCAATTGCAAAATTAGAATGTCCGCAATTCGGAATTCTTGGCACTAAAATCCTTTTATTTCCACGATTTTATTTCTGCACCTCTCATAAACGTCATGGTGCATTTAGGCTGATGCTTTTTGTAATAAACATAATTCGAATGTTGGGTAATCATTCGATTGATGTAACAAACCACTGGACAATGTGAAGTAGATACTGACTTTACTTACTTACTGAGAATTTTAGGGGGTATCCATTATCCATCAACTTTCAACGGTCATATTTTGAAAAATTTAATTTATTAGTGAAATTTCAGTTTTTATTAAGTCTTTTTATGTTTGGGGAATGAATCAGGTCTTAATATAACAAATTGAAACGTAAAGTTTGTATTGCACAACTAAATGCACCCCATAGTCAGTTTCGCACCATTATTCTTCAAGCTTTTATTTTTTTCAAGCAATGAAACCGTTGCTCACCTGGAAACGAACATAGCCATAAATTGTTGCAACACACATAACTTAGAAACATACAAACAATCTCACTTTTTTAAAGACAGTTTTAAAGAAGGTCCTTTATTTATCTTGCTGTCATAAAATATTTATCTTTAAAATGTCGAATTTTGGAAATTATTGGGTGCTTTTCATCTAGATAAGCGACTCGCAGGATTAAAAACGAAATTATCCAAGTTATTGGATATTCAAATCGTGTCGACGAAAGACATATTTTCCAGAAAAAATTATACCGTTTCCAATCTTTTTCCTTTTCTTCTACGGAACTATTGCTCAAAATATTTACTTAAAAAAATCTCCTTGAAGGTGAAACACTCAGTTAAAAGTCAAAAATCTAAATTTGGAAAATTTCGAACGCCAAATTTTTCATTTTTGGCTCTATTTAGCCCACGGCTTAATTTGATTTGCTCAATAACTGAAGAACTCGAAAGATATTTTGAGATTTATGAAAATTATAGCCTTAATATATTATTATATATATTATTTGATAACAAATTCGTTTTTAGCTACATAGAAGCTGCGATTTAGAGACAGGAGATAAAACATGATAAATATTTTTTTTAATTGCAAGCAAGAAACTTACGCTTGCGTATTTTAATTAGGTATACATTTTCCGGCTTAAACTCAAGTTTTGTTGGGATTAGATG